CACCCATTCTTCACACATTTCTTTACTATTAAAAACATTCAGCTTTTTTTTTTTTTCAACAGCAAACAGATTAGGCTTTAATTACTCATAACCCATGCACAGCAAAGATCCAGCCCCTCTGTTTCACACCCAAAGGAATGAGTAAGAGAAAAGGTACATGTACCCTTGTACTCCAAGGAGAGGACAGAAAACCTCCTTTCTCAGCCCGCAATGCTCACTCTTGCACGCTTTCTCAATACTAAAATTCCCTGAGAGTTGGTGCAGAGACTGAACATATTTTAGGAGTTTAGAAAGATTTCAAGCTTTTCAGCTGGGGTAGGAAGCAAAGTATTAGAGCTCAAGAACAAATGAGTAGGGTGGGAGGGAAGCAGCACCTGAATAGGTTCTTTTTCTCTTAAAGGTAAGATTTTGTTCCTTTGCCTGGCCTTTTCTTTCTAGCCCTGATACAGCAGGCAATGTTTAACTCCTGAAAGTTTGTGTCTGAATATCTCATTACATTTCTTTTCCTGAATTTCTAAAAATTAATAAGAAAATAAAAACTGTCTTCACTGAAGAAAATAACTCAAACCAGTTGCCCTCTATAATTCAGGAAAGAAAAGCATTTAACATTTCAGGATGAAGAGTGCAACATTAATCATAATAAAATATGAGAAAATGCAGACTTTTGCATTCTCTCTAGGTGATTTCAAACTTTTATTTGTCTCCTATTGCATATGCAAAAGCAATAATAACATTTAAAAGCATCAGTTTATATAACACAGGATAGTCTGTCCCTCAATAATTTCACTTTTTTTTCCCCCACAAAGAAATTTGAACCTGATATTAATATGTTTTAAAAGCTCTATATATAGAAATGATCCAAAGTTTTATTAAATTTACAATCATGTCTCCAAGTACTAATGCTTTCTTTCACTAGAAAATGGTTTCACAATGGCAATAATTTTAAGACTTATGTCTATACTATTTAATTAACTAAATGATAAGGATTTGGGTTTTTTTCACCCCTTATTTAAATGAAAAAAAAAAAATCTACCTGAACCCAAGAGAATATTGTTTGTTTCCCAGAAGTTAATCATGAGAACAGATATAGTGACTTTTTATTGCTCTAAGCTTGATTAAATAATAACAGAAATCCTCCCCACCCACCAAAACATTTCATTAATGATAAAATTAGAGCTGTGTGATTTTAAAGTATTTAGAAATTACTTGACTGGTAAGCTGTATTTTTATCTCACCTTTAAAAGCTTAAATACTCTCTTATTTAACAAAATACAGCAAATATGAAACATTAAATTGGATGAGGACTGGTCTTTCCTGATAGGGTTTTCCTGTAACTTAAATTCTTGCAGAGCTAATGTCCTGAATTTTAGAAGATCTAACATGTCTCTGTTTTTGTTGCTTTTAGAATTACTGTCCCTGTTGAAAGAATGATTAGGAACCCTATCTGAATTAAGATCCTATGTAATACACAGCAAAAATACATCTCTGTATTAGGAAAGGGTTTCTAATATTATAAATTAAAATATATTATAAATATATAAAATTATAAATATTATAAAACATCTTATTATGAAATTCAAATTCTTAAGCAGACTTGCAGACTTGCTCTGTAAATGAAGGGGGTGGAAATGAAAGCAAGTTCTAAAACACACTCCCTTAGGAAGACACTGCCTATATAGCACACCTCAAACTGAAAAGCTTATTTACTACTTTTATAAGTTGCTAATCCTATTTGGAAATATTAATGTTGGGTAAGAGAACTGCACAAGACTACAGTACATCATGAAGAATGCTGTAAAGTTTTCATGGGCACAGGCCCCTACCTGCAAGGAAGGGCAAATGCAGCCACTATTTTTCTAGCATTTCATGACTGAAAGTGAGCAGCTTATGATTAAATACTAATTTTATTTTTTTTTTTGCATCTGCTGACTGTATTCCTTGTAACACATTGAATTCCTGTATTCAGCATCATCAGCTGTGCAGCCACTGAGGCCACACTCTGCCTGCAGGGATATCTATGGAACACTGCAGGTGTGTGTCACCACAGCTGGACCTGGGAATGTCCAACATGGCACAGCTCATTGTCTCCACATTGCTAAAAAGCTCATTTGCCTCTTTAATCTGACAGTCAGAGGGTCTGTCTGTCCAGATGCACACCACTTCTAGAACTGTGTGATAAGAAGGGGGATTTTTTATATAAGCATTCTTTAAGATGTCTAAAACTTTATTGGCCATGTAGATCCCCTAAAATTGTGGTTTCAGATCTTGCAGAAATCCTATTTACACTGAAAAATGCTATTACAAGCATTTGGAAAAATCCTGAAAATAGTAAGATGGAGGCAGAGTAATTTTTAGTCTCTCTGATGAGTGGGATACAGAAAGTCCTGCAAGCTTCCTGTCAGTAATAGGACCTTACACTCATTGAAGGTCAATTTTTTTCCTTTCCTAACCTTAGCTTTGTTATCCAAGACAAAGAGAAGGATCTAATGGGTTATGAAGCAAGTTCTTTTGGCAGAGAAGGTTCAGACAGCTATTCCACACCCAAGCATGTTCTTTAGGACAGTAATCTAATGACTTTATGAACAAAAAAAATTCAGTGCTGAAAGTACTCCAGTAATTTTAAGCAGGCTATTAGACAACTGCTAAAAGGAAAACCTGGTAACATAAGATAGACAAGATAAAGAGATCTGGTTATATTCTACTGTAAATTAAACTCCCATTAATTCCATGTGCTTCAATCAATGAGTTTTGTGGGTGCAACTGATGGCTGAGCTTGCCCTAAAATCTTATAATATTTAATTACGGTTCAATGATCTAGTTAGTCTTAACTCAGTCAAGCAAAGACTTACAAGGTATTAAATTGCTGTTTGTGTAATTACATGATTAGGTGATAGTTTCCAGTTGCACCAACCTAATTACACTAGGTATGAGGCAACTTTTTCTCTCCTTCTTCAAAGGTCAGCAAATGGAGAAGTATTACAGTGAGACATGCTTGATCTGCAGTCTCAGTTCCCAGTTTTCCCCTGCCTGGATGGGCACACACTGACTGTGCCTGCAGTAGCATTTAGTCATTGTACATGAGCAGGTCCCACTGAGTGCAGCTGTGTTCCAGCTGGCTCACACATCTTCTCTGTAGAAGAGAGACTGGTTAGCACAGAAATGGAGCATCTACAGTTGCATATTTCCCTAACACCTGCAGAGCAGGAGCCACAATGCAAGTGGACTACACAGCTATTTCTGTATGACTCCTCAGTTCTGGTAATAAAGGAAGGGAGGCCACAGCCTCCCTCCCTTACTTCCTTCCCTTCTCTTGTGAATTTGTAGTTAATATACACAGATGTTGCTATCCCCTATCCTCTTCTATAAGCATCTCCTCTACCCCTGTTTTCTTTTGTCATCATTCTTACAGAAAGAGGCAATGTTTTTCAAAGGATGGCCTTTTCTTTGAATCTGCAAAGCTTTGCCTATGCCATTTCACAGCACAAGTGCACACTACACTTGTAGTTTGAGCTGGTTGCCTGAATTCAACCTGCACCCCTGTGTGTGCAGGGGCCCAGAGTAGCTACTGAGCTTGCTCCTCATCTGAGCCATATCTTTCACAGAATCTTGCTTGGTGCAGTTTCCTGGAATACACCCTGTGAGAAATCAGGAAAGTGATGACTAGAGTATACTAATTCCACCTCCTCTAGATTCTTGGGAATTCCAGCATAGCCATTTTTTCCATATTAAACATATAAACGCATTATGAATTGTCTCATATGAAGAAACAATGCAATTTCAGCTGTGAACAGCTCCAGTGTGATGTATTTTGGTTTGCAATCTGGATGTGCATTTGTGCTAACCAGTGCATTGCTAGGTGAGAGCATGGCTAACACAAGTGCGTGTTGTCCATTGCACAGAAGTTGACTGCAGCTTGCACTGTATCCTGGAGCTTTTAATTATACAGTCCAATAAACTGTGGCTATCTAACACCACCCCACCCTTACGTAAGCTGAGTTGCAACACTCTGGCACCAGTCAGAGCTGTTTGCTTACATGATTATGACCTCAAGGCAAGAGCTGCACCTGGGTATGACACAGTCTCGGGGCACTTAGAAACACCGTCTGCATTAAAAAGCTGGTTAAGAGTGCAATTTTATTGTGAACTTTTCTGTCACAATTTGGTATTAGCTAAAACCCTTGGGGAAATAATGGAAACAAAAGTACGATTTTGCCTGTTTAAATTGCATCTATTCTAGCAGGACTTGCTTGTTAAACCTTGATCACCGAATCATTTAGCACAGTCTATTCCTAAGGCAAGAGAGATTTTCCCATTACTTTGCAGTTTCTGAATTCAAATGCCTTCCAACTGAAAATAAGCAATTAAGGTTTCTCAAGATAAATCTAGTCACATCCCAGAAATGCTATGTTTCACACCACTTACAGCTGAGAAGCAACTTTTCAGACTATAGAAATTATTTGAGAGCTTCCATAGAGTATTGGCTCCTTGTTCAGCAGAGCACATAGGCATATATTTAAAAAGCAGATTTTCAAAGACACAGAAATGGATCAGCTAGTCTATCTCAAACTAAAATGTTTTTGTCCCTCTGAATATCTTTCCTATCACCTTTAATAGGATCTAAACATGCTTGAAGGTAAGCAGAGGCTTTAGACTGAATAAACATCATCTTAAGCAAATATTTAAACATGTTACTGAACTTTATTCTGAGAGGAACCAACAAAAATCTGAAACTAGTTTAAATTCACATAGAATTCTTCAATGTGAATTATTAAGATCTCTCCACATCGGTTAATTGTTGAAGCTCCAGAGCCAGTGAAATATTTTGCAAGAGCAATATATGATATAAAGTCAGCATAACAATAACACACGGTGTAAATGCCAGAAAGTTGTCTCAATCCAGAGTTCCAGCACTAACATTAAAAGCTTTTTGAACCATCTTTCATAACTTTTACAGTAAATTTTTCATTGCTTTTAACATCAGTCTGGAACTGAAAACTTACCACACAGAATTAATTTCACTTTCAGATGCAGAGTTTTGCTGTAGAGACTGTGAGATCTTGTTCTGGCTCCAAGTTCTGATCTGTGTACCATCATTGTGCCTGAGAACTGTTTTCTGTGTGGAGAGAGGTCGTCATTAGCAGACATTCTTTCTTGTGACAGAGACAAGGAAAATAAAAAGCAAGTGCTCATTGCAGCAAAGGCAACAATGGCACATGACAAAATCTAGCAGAATTTCAGTATTCAACAGCATTTGCAGCTATAGCAGGACACCCAGCAGCATTTGGCAGACGCACTCACGGTTTTACACCTCTCTCTCCAACGCAGGCCCTTGGCTGTGGGTGTGTGGGGCAGGCTGTGCTCAGCCGGGGACAGCATGGAGGGCCCATGACGGTGTCGGTGGGATTTGCCATGGCAGTCACCATAGCAGTCTACGTGTCCGGGGGCGTTTCTGGTAAGTCACCTTTTTTCTTATATAGCACTTATTGCTACAGTGTTAGGGGTCCCCTGTTAAAGGGCTTCCACTTCATGGTATAAACAATTGTGAATTTAGCAATGGTAAGCACCATCACAGCACAGTTCACACCAGAATTTTGCTAGTAAACGTTGTGTGTTCTTATCGCCTTCTATTCTTTGTGTTTGACAAAATGTCCCACCAAATTCTGATCTCAACCACAGTGTGAAAATCTTGGCAGACTTCTTTGGTCTTGGCTTTTATGGAAAGTGTTCTGTGCAAACCAAAAATCAGCTTGGTGTTGCTTTGAAGATTCTGTCAATAGAGATGATCCTGGGAGAACAGGCGCTGTGTTTAAAGAAAGAACCATGAAGAGCAGCAGTCACCAGATAAAATGGTGGCCAGCTACACAGAAAGCAGAATGACCTACTAATGGATGTAATGAACAAGATTCACCTTACAGAGTAAAATTTATTTCTTCATGTCCTGTCACAGGCAATAGCAACTCTGCTCCTGTCTGATTATTCACAGAAGCAGCAGATCAGAACAGAAACAGCAGGAAGATTCAGTACCAGGGATACATTCAGTGACACACTGTTGGTGTACTGTTCTTTCCCCTTTATTTCTACTGTAACACTTCCTCAACAGGTATTGGTCAGAAATCTCTCTTTAGTCCTGGGGCTAAGTTAGCAGGGCTAACTAACCAGTGTCCACAAGTGCCATATTGGATGCTGCCTTGTCTCCCAGTTCCACCACTCAATTTGGCCAAACTAAGATCAGAAACATGAGCATAACTGCTTTTAACATTTAAAGTCTTCCTTTAAAATAGAAAATGATGGTTTGTAACAGCAATGTAAGAATGCTCTGAATGAAAATACACAATACTTTGTGCAGTATGCAGAGTTTATATTTGCCTTTAAAGCAAATGGTGCCCTTGTACTCCAGGCCTCATAGAGGCATTTCTTACCCTTCATAAGATGGCTTAAGCTGGTCTGGACAAATTTCTTTAGGTATAATTAGGGCATTAGAAATAGCTGCTGTAGCAGAAATTACTGTGGCCATTTCTCTTCTCTTTACAAATTCTTTTACAGAGGCACCATGCAGAAGGTTTCCATTAGAAAGTTTCACATTAGAAAGTGCTCCAGGTTCTACAAAACAGGCAGTCTTGTCACTGTCATTGACACAGACCAGAACTGCTCCTTAATATCACACAAAATTAATTCAGCAGCACATTCTTATTATCTGAACAACTTTAAACTACAGCTCTTGGCTTACATGTAGGCAGCTAAACTCTTCTAATGCAGTATCATGAAAACAAACCTGTGAAGACCTTTCCTACATTTGCACCTTTAAGGGATATATTCATCTGCATCATTATGTAGAAAATTAGAGTTCAATCCCAGCAGGGCAGAGCAGTTGCAGATGTTGCAGTATTGTGCTTCCTGTGTTTTTCCCATGACAAAGGATTCTGCATGCAGTACATTTTCTCTGTGAAAAAATAGGAACAGATATTTCAACAGGCTGTTATTATCCAACACATTATTACTAGTGGACATTTCAGAATACAAGTTCCTATGTAGAATTTGTTAGCAATTTCTGTGGCTCTTGGGCCAAAGTCTCATGTTTAAGTACTGCTAAAATATTTTTCATCAGTTCTTTATGTAATTCTAAATTGATGGTAACAAAATATATAGTCTGCATGCTTGTTGAATTTGAGCTATTTTTATTTAGGAAAATTCCCCTTTTTAATTTTCTTCCATCCAGTTTTCTTCAGTATCAAGATAATCTCCCACTATTTTATCCAACTTAGCATTTCAAATCCACGACTGTGATCACTGCAACTACAAAAGAACAAGGAACACACTGTCCAAGTGAACTTTTTTTTCAACCAGTGGAAGAGGAACCAAGAATCTTGTAACTCCCCTATGTCAGCATGAGAGCCTTCAATTAGACTTTTCCTTTCCATATTTAATGTTAATCAGTCCTCTGTAATATTATTATGACTTGTTCTGGCCATCATAGTCACCCTGTATTATATACAGATGGGGATCAAAATCAGGTGTTGAAAGAAAGGAAAATTATTAATTCTCTCCAGAGTAAGGAACAAAAGACAAGACAACAATTAATCAAAATTCATATGAAGGGCTGTTAAATTGGATGCCATCTATCTACTTTCTCTGTGCTGAAGAATTTGAAACACAGTGAGGAATTCTACTTTTAATTCAAGACTGGCACTACTAGGTCAACATTTTGGAAATGATACAAAGAAAGTTTTATCCAGCTTGTTATCTGTGTTTGTCAGTTCATTATGTATCAAAGGTGCCTGGATTTCGTAAGATAATGACTCACTGACCTGAAGTGCAAACAAACACAGAAACTACATAGAGGCCCTTTCTCCATCACTAACCTTTGAGAGATAAAGAACATGCTCTTTCAGTTATTTTACCAGAGACAAATGCTATTTTTTTCTGACATTCACAGAAACTGAAATGAGACCTTATCTGGAAGATAAGCAAAGGATCTTATGTCCTTGCAAAATTTGGGGGTTTTATTTTTCAGTATTTATTACAAATAAGTACCTGCTCATTTATTTGGCAATTTGTATTTATTAAATCCAAACCATGTATCTATAACAATGAAATTTTCCAAGAGCATACAAACAAACATTTTTGTTGACAAAGATGTTGAGGAAAGAGACCATATGACAAAATAAATGTATTTTAGAAACTAAAACTGTCACAAAGAATTCCAATGTTACTGAAATCTTTTTCATGCATAAGTTCAGGTATAGCTACTCCTGCATAAAAAGGAAGTTTCACAGGAAACTGAACTTTGTTTCAGCGAACAAAATATGAATTGTTTTATTATTATTTGTTTGTATTGTTAATATTATTAACTATTTTATTAGTTTCCTTATCATGGACCTTTCCAGAAAGCACAAGAACTAGATAAAAATATGGTGAAGGACTATGCACTCCTGCCCCCAGATCCCATCTAGGCATAGTTCACCAGCAGCCAACATGAAAATGGACAGGCCTAGCATTATTTGATTATGTTTCCATGAAAACTGAGTTCCTGAGTAACCCCAGGTTGAAGACAGAGACACAAACATAACTTAAATCCGAGGTACTCCAGAACTGTCTCAAGACATATGCTCAAGCCAGTAATGGTCCTTAATCATAATATGTGCTTGGGAGACTAAAGGAATGTTCTTCTGCCCCAGTCATCCCCTAAAAATAAAAAGCCAAAGACCTTGAGGAGAGAGAATAGGTGCAGAAAAGGGGACCCTCCCATCACAACCAATGGGGCAGATTTACTATTTTTCTAGAAAAGTTGTCTATTAGTTACTCCAGGACAGTATTCTGATAAAGTGCACAGTCCACAGGCACCAAAAGTAAAGATGGATCTTAGTGGCTTTCGCTCTCCCTCATCTGATTACATCCAACTTTTTTCAGTTTAATTGCAGTCAGCATTTAACTGCAAAATAACATCTAGAAAAGCATGTGGTGTTCAAAAGTGCCCACATTTTTACAAATCCTTCACCTATTCTCATGTATCTGAGTCATCCACATGACTTAATTTGTGATTTATTTTTCAGGTGGTCACATAAACCCAGCTGTTTCATTAGCCATGTGCGTGACTGGAAGATTAAAATGGACCAAATTACCAATTTACATATTAGCACAACTCCTGGGAGCATTTGTTGGAGCAGCGGCTGTCTTTGGGATTTATTACAGTGAGTACACCTTAGACATGTTCACAGGACAAACTAGAGGTCAGGCAGTCTCTAAGGCCCCAATTTTTCAGTGAATGTCAGGCAGGCAGAGGACTCTTGTTCACACAGGGCTAATGGCACAAATGAAGTTAAAGCTATAAAAGAAGAAAGGAAGGAGCATATAGAGTTTGAAGTGAAAAACAATGGCTTGAACATTCCAGGTACCCTACAAATTTACTGAAACAATACTCCAGGAAATGTTCTGATATTTAGAAAAATTATTCATGGGAAATCAGATACTCTGAGATCATGTATTTCTCAGTAAGGATTTTAAATTACTTAATAGCCAGGATATAGGGCTATCCATCTTCCAAGCAAATTAGAAACATTAAAGACCTGCTACAAGTGCCTGTAGGCAAGAATCACCAACATCGTTCATTGAGGGTACAGGATATGAGATCAAGTCCCTCCTGACCAAACCTCAGACCACCCTTGAGAGGTGACTCTCCAAGGCAATGAACTCCAGGTACAGTGATAAAGGGGTCACACATTTGACAGGGAAAAAGGAAAAAAATTACCCCTATCCTTGAGACACCGGGGCTTTACACAGTGTGCCACAGAAGGAAAAAACAGTAAATGACTGACTGCACTCAGCTGGGTCAGTTGCTTCAACCCCCTACTCCAAAACTGCTTCCACTGGCCCAGCCCATCTCCTCCAACATCTCTTTCCTGTGGGAATTATGTCTGCAGACCGTGCTGGGTCCATGTGCAGCAGAGGAAGAACAAAAATGGAAATACCCCTGTACATCAGCTCAGTGCTCAGTACCCACAGTAATCCTAACGAGGAAGATCTTTAGGAACCATGATAACTGTTTTGGGCTTGGTGTGTTTTCTGTGTTTCTTTGTTTGTTTGGGGAGTGTGGGGGGGGAAGAGTTGTTTACTTTTTTAAGGTTAGTGTTCAAATTTGGAAACTGGAATCCTGGAACAAGATTTCTATCTGAATTTAAGTCCTCCTCAAGTCTGACAGGAAGAATTAGGGCTGTGGCCAGGATGTAGCAGTGTGTTAACATGTACATGGGGTTGACAGGGGAGTTACTGTATTCTGCCACAAGGGCAGCAGTAGGGTAGGGAGCCAAAGCAGGAAGCCTAGGTCCAGGTTCTCCTCATATTCAGGAGTGCAGGATTTTCTCATATCCCTATCTCTGCTAAAGTCCTCCTCTTGCTCTAATTAATTTCCAAACCTCTTCAGTAGTCTTTACTTACTGCAACTTGCAGGACTGTCATGTACTCTTTGAGGTCCACTGAAAAGTCACTGGTAGAAAAACAGACATAAGAGATCATCCTTTTTTTTAATCTCCTGTAATTGTTAAATACCACAGAATTATCTGACACTTCAAATGAGAGCATGATCAATGTAAACAACTACAATTCTCTGCACTCATGTTGTGGCTCTGAGCAAAGCTAGAAAAAACAGAAACAAGGAGAAATAGATTTGTCTGCCAGCTTAAGGAGGCACTTCTCACCCTCACCATGTCTTCCATGGGATATGGGAAGCTATTTCTTTATTCACAAGTGTCATCTCATCACCAGATCCACTAATAAAATGATGGATTAGAGTTTGTTACATGTCTGTCTATGATGATTTGAGTACCCCATCTTAACATCTTCCTAGTTCTAAAACTGCATAATTGCCAAATGGAATAGCAGTAACTCCTGGTGCCTGGGAATCCACAACTGCACAATCAGGATGCTGTGCATTTCCTGGGTCATCATGACACGTGTAGCACCTCTTGTAGAATAACACATCTGTATTCAGAATCAGAAAATGCTCCTTGGCACTGAGTTTGGAGCTATGAGCAGGGGAAAGCCAGCCCCATTTGGAAAGCTGTATGAATACATCAAGGCACAGGAGGAGAGAAGAGACAGGAGGGTAGGAGGAGTACATCACCTCAAATCCAACAATGGTGCTCCCAGAAAAAAAACATCAGAGAATCACCAAATGGTTTGGGTTGGAAGGGACCTTAGAGATCAGTTCCAGTTAAGAATGTGAAGTGCACAGATTTATTACATGTATTCTAGTCCTAGAAAACCTAGAAAAGTTTATGGAGAAGTGCAAGCAGTTACTGGATTTTTTTCTATAGATGCCTTTATGGAGTATAGTGATGGAAAACTTGAAGTCACAGGACCTAATGCAACAGCACAAATCTTTGCAACATATCCAGCTCCCTATCTGACCCTCGTAAATGGATTTGCAGATCAGGTAAGTGCACTTGCTGTCTTAATTCTACAAATTAAACATAAAAAAAACCTGTAAAGCCAAGCAGTAAAAACCACATAGGCCTAAAAAGTGTGCCAAACCTCACCATTTCAGCCAGATGTCTCCTTGTACAATACAATGGGAATGCAATGCTGTTTGCAGGGGGTTACATTTTAGCAATATTTTACAAGCAAAATAATTTCAAGTTGTTCTTTTCTCATACATCATCTTAATTGTTGCACTCAAAATGTCTTTAAAGCAATATATGTAAGAGGTTTTGCTCAGCATAAATCAATGTTTCTCCATAAATCTCATCAGAGTTATGTCCATTTACATCAAAATCCAGCCCATTTTGAGGGCCTATTATTCCTTAAATAATGCTTAAGCAGACAGTTTAACATACCCTGAACAATTGAGTTTTCTTCTTCCAAAAGCCTTCTCTCTAACCTTCTTTTTGCAGATAGATTTGTAGTATTTATTTTTCAAATGACTGAATCTGAAAAATCCTCAACTTCATTTCTAAGCTGTCTTTTAATTCCACTTATGCAACAGCAAAAAAATGAAGTTTCATTCAAGAAATTCAGAAGTACCTTATCATATAATTCTAATCAACTTACCCATCTTCTTCAGGAATACATGAAATAAATACTGCATAAGTAAGGGATGAAAAGCATATGAAAAGCAAGGGATGGCCTCAACACAGAAATTCATTATGTAAAAGATTGTGCAATCTGGCTTCAAAAAACCCCTAAACATTATTTTGAAGTTTTGTAAGAAAGACAGTTCAGATCTTTGGATCGGTCAACAGATTTTTCCCCAAGATATTTTTTACCCATGCATGTTTCAAAACAAACTTAAAAGCAGGCAAAAAACCAAATAATTTTTTAACCCCTCAAACATAAGCTTCAAATCAGTATAGAAATTGAACAGTTTGACATTGCTGAAGATTTGTCTTTCCCATCAAGTTAATTATTAGCAAAATCAACATTGACAAAACATCGACAGAGCTGTACTTGCATTGAAGTAATTCCAAGAGAATTTCCTTCTCCAGATCAATTAGCATATGCAATACAGAGTTCATGGTACAGTGATATGTGCAACATTAACTTGGGTACTTCCTAATTTTAGCTGCTCAGTTTTGACTTTGCAGATTTCACTTTTTCTTCTGATGTTATGCAATACCTGGATAAAGAGATACATATCTAATTTAATTTATCAGCATAAACTACAGTCACATAAAACACTTTTATATCAGTGGAACTGATTGCATTGTTATAGCAGCAGAGCCACCAAATGTAAAATTGACAGGAAAAAAAATGTAGAAACAAAGCACTAGACCTCACACAAGAAATGTATTTTAAATCCTCTGTTCTTTCCCCATCTGGTTGTAGATTTATTTTTTTTTTCAAGTGCCCTCAGCACGTTTCTTGTCTTTGTCTTTCGGCACACTTTTCAAAACTTCTCATTACTGTGAAGTAGAAAGACACCGAGTTCCAAGTTTTGCTATTCTGTATAGTGGGATAAAACTGAATACCAGCTCTAAGCCACTCCAATCCACAGAGCTGCCATAGCCCCTCTTTTCATTATTGGAAAGAATCTACACATATTTATTCAATATTCTTTTCTTTGCCTTGGCCAGGTGATGTCAACAGCTGTTCTTCTTCTGGCTATATTTGCTATTTTTGACACCAAAAATAACAGCGTACCCAAGGGCCTGGAGCCAATTGCAGTAGGACTTCTTATAATTGTTCTTACTTGCTCCTTGGGAATGAACAGTGGCTGTGCCATGAACCCAGCCAGGGATCTTGGCCCAAGGCTCTTCACAGCTGTTGCAGGATGGGGGATGGAAGTATTCACGTAAGTATGCCTGGAGATGAAGTCAAATGCTCCTGGCTAAAACTGTTTCTAGGAAGGTAAGATCCTGATTCAACATGGTACCAAGTCATACTTTATATACATACAGGTAATTCTTTGCATACCAGAAGCAGCTATTCATGCACTTTAAGCCAGATATCCTCTAGGAACTGGGCTTTAAAAAGGATTTCCTGCTCCTAGGGCAAATCAAACATGCATAATCTCTAATATCAATCATCATTTCAACAAGACCTTTCCCAAAATATTAGAGCTTCTTAGAGGTCACTGAAAATATGAGTGCTTTCTTCTTGTGCCCTGCAGCTTTCAGGGAAAAAAAAAATCAGGAGAGAATTAGGTGGAATTATTTATTGGGTGCTGTAAAAGACAGAGACATATCAGATTGATTTAGCTTATGATTACTTCTGAGTTACTACAGAAATATACAACAATCTAAAAGCCTGACTTCCTGGCTGGGAGTGAAGGAGTGAATGAAAAAGCTCCCTTCATTTTCCCACATTTCAGAGCCCTCTCAAATCCCCATGTGCGCATGCACACGCTCTTGGCTGGTCCACTGCACAGCTAATTAGTTGCACATCAAATCCACATCTTACACGTATCCAGGGTAAGAGGCACTCTGGGGTATCTAAGCAAGAGTAATCTGTCATCAGGAAGCAGAGTTTTTGGTTTATTTTTGTATTGTTTGTGTTCCCAGTTATTTACAAGTAGGAATCCCCAGTAGTACTGTAGACCACTGGAGAGCTCTGGGTAGTAGAGATTCTATTTTAACAAGAAATTAAAGAAGCCCAAATAATCTCTATTTACTCAGTATGATTTCTATTTACACAAATCATGTACCTTATTTGAGGAAAGCAGTAGCAAAGCTTTTCTCATAAAAACAAAGCCAGGCAGGCATAGCTGAAACAAGCACACAGCACAAGGCTGGGTGTAACTCTGCTGAGCTGCTGGGGGGGATCAGCTCATTGGTCTGGTTACCTCCAAACTTTTCCTCCCCAGTAGCTCTTAGCACTGCACCATGGGACTGCACTTTTTTTATAAAACAAGGACACACAGAGTGACATCCCTCACTCGGGATTCTCCTCTCTCATACCTGTGTAATTACAGGTAGCTGTTGACTGTGGTATTAGCCATGGTGTCATTCTATAACCGGTAAAGTATCATGAAGTATTATTACATTACTGAAAATTTGGAAGCCCGATTGTACTGTGATCTAGTCACAGAATGCCTGTGAGCTCCCCTTCTTTCTAAAAGCATGGTTGTACTCATTCACATTAAAAAAACAACAAGAAAACTTTACATCTATACCAATATGGACTCTTTCCTAGTTTAAGGTTTTATATAAGAGAAGGAATGCACTCCCAATGTAAAGACTTTCAAAAATTTTAAAATGTGAACATAAAAAATAAGATACAAGATCTCTGATACTCACCAGAATAAACTTACAATATGAGGGATATGAAAAATGGAGAAAGAAGGCTTCCTCTCTGCCTTCAGTTAAAAGGCTACAGCTATAACCAAGTCCAAGGGAATGATACAACAGGAATATGTTCCGATTTATTTACAGCACTGATCCAGGTGAGACTTAGGAAGAGCCTGAGCCTTGTTGGATTGCTAGAAGAGCCCCAGGAAAGGCCTGAATGACTGTAGTTAGGATCCTAAATTGCCTGATGCTTTGCTATGCCTGAGCAACTTAAAGTGGTGCAGCAACAGTTGACAAATAAACCTTGGATATTTCCATTTAAATGGAATTCACAGCCCTGGTGTTAAACTCTCTAACAAAGGCATGTCCAGGAGCTGGGACCTGAGCATGAAACCTCCACAGAGACATGGAGATATACAGCTTGCTGTAGAAACTGAGCAGTACAAAATACACAAGAGATGCTGAAAGTTCTTTGGGGGAGAGGATGGAAGCATCTCCCAAGGCAATTGAGTCCATGCCAGTGGACGGAGCGTTGCCTAAGGAGCAGCAGGGGACCACAGGGAAAGCCTTACTTTCAAATAGATCAGATACATAATAGCAAGACTTTCCACAGTGTTCCCAAGACTTTCTACACTGTTCCCAAGCGAATGCTCTTAACTCTCAGATAATCAGCCCTCTGGAGAAGTCCCCTCTACCCTTCTTTGTGCTTGCAGGTATAGTAAATGCTGGTTTTATCCTGTTCTCAGGCAGAAAACTAGCCTGGAGGGGAGCCCTTCTGCTGGACCATGGAATTGTCCACATGATAGGAATGCATTTGAGCAGGGGTTTTTAAAATGTTGCTGTTACTGCATTTTGCACAGGCACCTGAAGGAGCATTTATCCCATAACCAAGCCAGAAGATGCAAGCTATGGTGTGGTTTCCCTAGCCCATGCAAATGGTTTGTTTTGGTTACAGGCTCCCATTGGAGTCTTTCTTAAGCCCACGCTTAATATTCTGATAAACTTAAGTGAAGTTTGGGAGCAAAGTATTGCCTGTAGTGAGAAAACAACCAGAGCATAGAGTCCAAATATGAGACTGGATTTTGACAAGCAAGACCGAGCCTGAAGCAGCGATAAGAGAGAGCAGTGGGGCTCTCCAGAGCAGCATTTGTGCAGATTAGAAGCAGCCGCGGATTGCTCAACCCGGCTCGGTGCGGTAACGCTGACACCTCGTGGCCGCCGGCTCTGGGGCACCAAACCGCGCCTCGGGAAAGGGCAGCAGCTCCTGTCTGCACAGGCATTTATTCGGATGGCAAAACGGCCTCGGAAGTATTTAGCATTCTTTCCGGAGTGCAGCCCCGCAGCCCAGATTGCCTCACCAACAGCGGTCTCTCCTTTTCCCGCAGCAGCTGGCTAGTGAAAGGTGTACCTGCAAGTTTAAACGGGCCCGAGTTCCCAGTCCCTGTAGCTCGGACACTGCAGTTCCCCGGGAATTTGGGCAGCCGAGCGCAGTTGTGCCGCCAGGCCGGCTCAGGGCAGCTGGCGGTGGCAGAGGCTGGGCCCAGCCCGCCAGAGCAAGGCCTACTCGGGGGTACAGCCGGGGCTAGGCCTGCTCGGGGCTACAGCCGGGGCTAGGCCTGCTCGGGGCTACAGTCGGGGCTCGGTGGTACAGCCGGGGCTAGGCCTACTCGAGGGTACAGCCGGGGCTAGGCCGCTCGGGGGCTACAGCCAGGGCTAGGCCTGCTCGGGGGCACAGCCAGGGCTAGGCCGCTCGGGGGCCCTTGGGCATCTGCGTGTGGCACAGCCGGCTTTTGCTCCTGTGCCAGTGACAGGGCACTGAGTGTCATGGAAACTCCTGCTTGGCTGGGTCCTGATCCCATTGCAGTTTGGCAGCGCCCTCTACGAAGGCTTTACACCCAGCACCTCAGCACAGGGTATCCGATGCGCGGCTGACAGCAAATACAGGCCACGATTTGGAGAGGGTCATGCAGGAGCTGACAGGGCCAGTCCATGGAACAAGCTGAGAGAAACCTGCCAAGACACACCTTCATTACACACCCGTGTATAAACACATCACACAGAAGAAGGCATGCAAGTACTTGGTATAGGTTTTTTTCTGCTAATTCAATAAAACCTTAGTCCGTGCTTGTTCCAGAAATTCAAGTGTTCAACAACTATCCATGATTAAAAAATAAACAGACTTATAAACTCAGTAAAATAACATCAGAAGTTATTTTCTATCCTCAGGGCAAAACAGAAATAATTCCTAAAGTAAAACATACACATCCAAGGCATTTCTGAACAAGCAGTAATAGTTAAACAGGGCACTGATATTCTCACAGTTCTATTCTTGCATTGACAAACACAAGTTCACTTCTGCATAAATCTATACAACTGAGCACTGAATAATTATCCTGACAGTTTAAAGGTTCCTCTGCAGCTTCCTGTAAAGTTCCTCTCATAGATTAATTTGTCCCTTTGTATTTCTGTGAGAAAAAAAAGTTCTCCATTTTTAGTATGCATGAAACTGAGGTAGCTGGATTTTCACTGGAGACTCACATATTCAATTAACACAGCTGGTTATCAAAACACCTCTATGCATCAGTACAGTTAAGAGACTCCATGCTCTGAAATGGAAACTCAGTTATTTACTGTCTGAATGTGGACCTCTAGGTAAAGGAGAGCAATTCTACCAGCCCAATATTCCTGCATGAAGAGGTTGTTATTTATTGTTTCAGTAGTGGACTTCTAATTTTAATTATTTCTGTAAATCTACATATTTCAAATTAAATCCTAGTAATTGTGCAAACGTAAACATTTCAGTGGAATCAGCATGGTGGACTTAGTGAATACAAAAATTCTAAGAATAAGTTTTAGGTGTATAAAAAACTTCTAAGCCTTTATTTGCCACTTGCTGAAAGACACCACATTCTAAACAGAGATAAGATACCACATCATGAAATTTGAATCTTAACCACTGTAGTCAAGGGTAATCAACTTTACAGTCACTGTGTCTTATTACCTTGTTTAAGGTAAATATACTCAAAATTTAGTTTCATTTATTACGTTTGTCAAGAGGAAGATGGTATATACTATTGCAGGTGTGAACTTGCAAGTTCCCATGCAGATGAAATAAGCCACTTTTGTAACATCCTGAAATTTTATTCACAAGCGTCTGGGGACAGCACAAGACACAAGGGAGAAATCATCCTCTGTTCCCAAACAGACAAGCAGTGAAAAGGCTTTATTTTATAAAAGGCAAGTACAGGACACAGACCAACATGTCTGGTGCTTGTTATTTAGCATTTCAATCAGAACCAGCTAGATAGGGCAGACAGGGGTGTCAGCCACTTACAGAAGTGTGAGACAAAATAGAAAGGTCTGCACTACAGCAAGTGGCACACCACTGGATCTGTTCAGTGACTAATACGCAGAAAGGTGTTCACTAGAGTCACAAAAACACTAATTCTTGTTCTTTTTGTCTTACAGGGCTGGTAATAATTGGTGGTGGGTTCCTATAGTTGCACCTCTGCTGGGAGGTGTACTTGGAGCAATGATCTATGTCATTTTTATTGAACTTCATCATGCAGATCCTCAGCCAGAAGAAAATGACACGCATGCTAAATATGAATTGACCAATATGTCATAAGAAGTGAAGAATTTTCTCTGTCATTTTGTTGTGCAGCTTTTATGCAAATGGTTGTTTGGACCACTGTATGAAACCCATATGCCTCAATTAGAAATTCACCTTTCAAAGCACAAATTCTGTATAGAAGTTCAAAATTGCAGCCTTTCCATGAAACATTGGGCTGATTACATTCAAAATTGTATCGTCACTATGGGAAGGCTAAACTGTCCTTTTTATATAGCTTTTAGAACAAGTTATTTCCTAGATGCAATTGTAGTGAGATGATGCACTGACCTGTTAATTCAACTCATATGATCTTAATCATGTTGCCTAATTAATGAAGATAGTTTAGATATTGATGCAAAACTGCATGCATAGCTATTTAATGGGTCCAGTGCTGAATTAATGTGCAAGAGCATCACTCACTTCTTAGGAATGGCTTGCCTAAACATTTAAAATTATACCCAAATTGTCTAAATGCCAATTAAAGCAGTTTAAAAAATAACTTTACTATATTTTATGGAGCCACTATTGATCAGCAAGAAACCAGCTCCTCAGTGCGTGTGTTTACTAACAATAAGATCACAAAAGGTAAAAACTGTTGTAAGATCAGCACTAAAGAGACAAAGGGTAACTTCTGCACAGGGTCTTCACAGCATTAATGCTTAGTTATTTTTAGACTATTTACTTGACCTTTATGCTACCCAATATTAAAAGCCTTATGTAGAATACTAATCTGAATCTCTTCCGCTGTGCTTTCTGGATACAATTCATTCCTGTGGAGATGACCCAGCAAGAGGCTGATGCTGTGCAGAGGTCAGCACAAAGCCTATGTCTGTGTAAACTTTAAAGAGTCCTGCTGCTACTGATTTACATAGGTGGATTTCATCTGCATTGTGGGAACAATTTTTAATGTGGGAGCAATAATTAAAATTAGAAACTGGTCTTAGAGCTAGTCCTAGGTCTGATTCCCCAAGGAAGGCCAGATCCACATCAGAGTTCTGATATGTGTGTTCTCTCCCACTAAAGAGAAATGGTTGGATATATACCCTATCCTAAATATCCAGCCTTGAAAATGAAATTATTTCTGCTTAATCATTGTGAATTGAATGTATTCAGTTAAATCAAAGTTTATTTCTATTATGTATACATCTATCCATGGTTGGTGGTGGTGATCATGAATAAAAAAACATCCAATTCAGCAATGCTCCTGAGATACTTTCATGGCTAAACTTCAGAGCACCAGATCAATTTGCTCATTTCAGGGTGCTCTTCCCTTTGGATTCCTATAACTCTGCTCTCAAATTCCATGCTACATTCCCGATTTCATTCTTGAAATGAGGAGCCCTTTGTGTTGCCACTAATAGCCTGTGCACTTCTGTGCAGTATCTGCAGAAGATGTTTACAAAATACCGTGGTCAGAACCTGCCTCAGCATTTGGGCCAATCAGGCCTTTGTCACTGCTTGTCTTGATCACACTCCCTGGGAAGCCATGGGAAGCATTCATGGCAGCAAAGGGACAGAAATAGCAGGTCATGCAAAGCTCTGCTTGCTGCAGCTCCAAGTCAGATATTGCAGTATATTTGGGGGAGTATAATTCCAATTTTAATTATGTTTTTAAGAAAACTTACGTAACTGTAATGAACTCAGGCAGCCCAGAGACATATCAGCCCTTTGCAAAATGCTCATTTCATTCAGTATGTCTCTGCTGTGGGTTGAAGTCTGCTATATCCATGCATCCTTGTATTACTGGCTGGAGTCTCAGGAACAAGAAGGGAGAGCTTATAGAAACAGTTCTCATTCTGAGCAGAGAAGAATCAAAAGTAAAATGCGAAAATTAGTCCTGATTTTAGACTTTTTGTTGGCAGCGGTGACAAGCTAGTTCCTCTGTCCTGTATATCGATAAACTGCACTACATAAAGCAAGATGGGGTGTAAATGCAGTTGCAGACTAAGCCTTTGTTTTACCCCTTGCAGTGAGTGTTGTCTCTCATCTCTTGGTGATCCCTGGGGCAGGAGTACTCCCAAGTGGCTGCCAACCTTCTGTATCTGGAGAGGGATTACAGAGGTAGAAACAGCCTGAGAGCTGCCCTCAGCTCTGAAAAGCATTTACTCTTCCACTGACACCAACATCTAATATGAAATACCTGTGCATAAAATAAAAATAAACAGCTAATTAACCAAAAATAACCAATTTTATTCAAAATGGTAGAGGCAGGTTTTCACTTGTGTTAGAATTTTGCATAGTCAGTAGGCTCCATATGCATCATTATATTGTTTCCTTAATCCACCATGGAAAACATGGGAAGAAGGAGAACACAGGTCAGGAATGAGAAAGGGACAGTTTATTTATACGCCTACTCACGGACTAGCCCACACTCGCTGTATGCCTGTGCATTGGCCAAGGTACATAAAGTTGTTCATTTTCTCAGAATCCTTCTGATCACAACATGTTCTGTCTATGAAACATAAAACCTTGTTTCTCCTACTCATGCCATTCCTATGCACATAATTTCTGAATGAGTGACATTTACTTGTCTAAAGTTATTAACATGCAAATCTTAAGCAGTGACACACTAGAGTGATAGCATAACAATGTCTTAAATATGCTCTCAAATTGTTGTCAATTCTGTGTTTTCTTAAAGGATTTAAATTTTAATTAATCATTCAATATTTTGTAAATTCTTTGGGGACACATGGTATTAACATCACAATTCATCCTGGATTCACAAAAGCCAGAATTTCATTCAATAACAAAGTGTTACAGACCTGTCTCTGACTGACAATTTAAACTTCAAGGAATGAATTCCTGCTTTTGGGACAAACCTCAGCTGAATCTTTACTACAAAACCATGACCAGTATCCCATAATATAATGGGAACAATAACAATCACCTCATTCCATAAACGTATACAGACATTAGCTGTTTTATAAAAAACAGAAAAGCATTTTGACTTTGCATAAACTATGCAATTTCCTAATATCAACTGATATTCAGTGGTCACACTTATGTTAAACTAATAATAATAACAACAGTTGGCAACAAGTTTTTCTAGCTGAAAGATGTTTTGATTAATGACTTAATAGTAATCAGTCTTAATTTTAATGTTGAATTAAATTAATTTTAGGGCATTGCTAAACTTTCATTTTGGGTTTGTTCTTTCTGGGAGCAAAGTGCTTGTTCTTTAGAGCTAAACTTAGTACTGGAGTAATTTAGAACGCTGCAAATAGTACTGAGTTAAAAGCTGACTACTGCATGTTGTTTTATTGAAGTCAGTGAAACTATTCACAATGGGTGGCTATACAGGCAAGGAGAAGTGATCAGAGAACCGAGCTCAGAGTATGGCAGACATTGTACTTTCTTGGAGTTTTGTCTGTGGATTTGGATGGTCAAATACTGTGGTTCAAAATAAATACAGTCAATTTCTAATAAATGCATTCCAGTGCTATTTTTATATATATAAAGGAAATCTCCCCTCTGGCACCTAAGGACTTAAGGAATAAATAGCTGCCTGTTATGACCTACAATGTTTTACAGCCTCATGCTGGAAGAACAGATGGACTAACAAGCTGGATTCCCGGAGCACAGCCCCTGTGGCAGATTCTGTGGCTCAGCAGCAGCACCAGAGCAGAGGGCAGTGCCAGGCCAAGAGGCACCCACACAACCAGGGCCTCCTGCCCTGGCCCTTCTCCCCTTCCTGCCTGCAGCCTGCCCAGGAACTCTCTCTGCCACAGCTTTCCCTCTGTTCTAACAGCCAGAGACCAGGTGGGATATTTTGCTGAAGTCTCTCTTCAGAAATTGTTTTTTTCATACATGTATCACATCAGATTTAGCCTGCAGGGCTTACAAAATGCCCCTGGCTAATCTACCCATCTTCTCCTCCACAGATTTGTAACAGGGGCATGCTTTGCTTATTTCATTCTAAAAGCACAGGAAAACCTGTGCTGTGGGAGCAAGGGAAAGGATAGGTGCTTCAAATTTACTCTGAGAACCACAAAAGAAAAAACAAACAAAACCAAACAAAAACCAAAACAACCCCCCAACAAGAGTATATGAAGTGCCAGCTGGCATTTTATCCTCTATCCATCCCGATGAGCCTTATCCTCCTATCAGTCTTTGCAACTTTCTGTTCTCTTTTCCTTCTTCTGCTAGCACTGTGCTGTGCTCTGTCTCTATACAGCACAATGCATCTCCAGAGATTTAAATGTGGCATGCTAAGTTACTTATGAATCTTAGAAAGTTCTCATGAGAGCAAATTCAAGCTTCACCTCACATGTTTGGTTTTTTGGCAGTTGCTTGCATTTTTTCCCCACTGTTCCCACCAAATAACCTTGTGCTGGAAAACACAACAATTAACTGTAACTTCCAGTAACAGCTGCTCCTTTTCTGCTTAGTATAATTATTATTGCATAAGAGAATGCTTCTTTAAAACAGGCACAATTTTAAAAGCCTTCTTTTTCAAACCGCTAATAAAAATAGCACCGGTTATCCAGGGGAAAAAATGCAGTGCCCATCAGTTAGATAGGTTTTTGTCTTCTACTTTGCACTTACAACTTGTTAAACAAATATTTTTAATTATTACTCTGTGTTAGTGCTTTTGCATGTTTGCACACTCTAATAACGCAGTCTCAGAGGAGAAAGCAGTAGGTAAATATTTTTACCATGGAGTTTCTTTGTATATTTGAATCAAATTTTAGAGAAATTCATATAGTACTAAGTTTGACATGCCACATTGATATAATTTTTTTCTTTGCTGACCACAACTTCCTTCCAAAGGTGTCTCCAAGACAGGGAATATGAATAAGCAGCAGCTTATATCAGGAATGATTCCTGATCACCTCTCAGACACACATGTATGTTTTGGGTGCAAATTCTGACATTCTCAGTACCACTAAGAGGACCAGTTTGGGCATATTAATACTATTATTTCCTCAGCATTAGGCATGTAACAGTCTGAAGGTGAAGAATAGGTGAAGAATAGGTGAAGAATACATTCCACACCCTCAGAAATTACTTTGTTTCACTGCACAACTCTTCTCAGGAAACCTTGCCTGCCTTCCCATTATAAACATGGCTGTGAATGAAAAAGCAGCAAAGTAAACAGTATGTTAAGACTTGAAAAGTCAGCATCTGAATAGAAGGAAATGAACAATCTCAGCCAGAACTGAACAGATGCAACACTTTCTGTAGCATGACCGAGGCATCAGATAACAAACATGAAGCCCAAGCACCAGCACATGCTTGGCAACAAGCACTGCTAAATTAAAGAGGCAGGTGTTTTGTTAATGCCTTTTAAATAGAGTTACAAATTTAATTTATTTTAGAATAAAAAGACTAAATTGTGATGGTGGAGTTTGGCATAGCAGAGGAACAAAATTTGCTAATTTGAACATCTTTAAATTATTGAAACAAGGGGAGAAAATCAAGGGTGGGGCATGTGGGAAAGAATGGAAATCTCAGTGAAGGAAAGGGAAAGCACAGTAGTAACTTACTTAATTTCCAGTCCTCTGAAACCTGCTGCAACTACTCAAAAGAGGCAGTATGGTCCTCTCCATTAAAAACACACAATATAAAACCAAAACCTGCTTCGTTTTCATTTCCATCTCAGATGTTCAAGACATTAGCAACTGATGGCTACACTACAGGAGACTTCTGCTACACAACCATTCTGCCACCTAAGGCAGGAAGCCTGTTTGGCTTCAGTGTAGAGAATTTAATCTCATACATGTGTACTCCCCTTGGGGTTCATGTTTTTCAGGGTATAGAATCAACATGTTTCTGAAGATGCTTGCACCGTAGAACAGTAGAAACACAAAAAGAGACTTGAACCCAACTGCCAGATTTCCATGGAATCTCAGGGGATAAAGCAAGTGCAAAGGCTCCTCCAGCAAGTCTTGGAGAAGGAAAGCAGAACAGAAAAACTTTGATTTAGAATTACATTGTTTTCACAGCTATGACTGCTTCAAAGTCACAGGCCATTTGCAAATGTAACATATATGCAAATACCATTAGCACCTCAGAGACTTCTAATCCAAGAAAATATATGATGGCTGAACAAAATATGGATATGAACACAGACACATTTCAATCTGTTCTGACACAAAAAGACAAAATACATCCTTAAAATGGAAGCCATTTTAAGCCCCATTTGCTATCACAGGTGGTTCTTTGAAATTCAACTCAGGAAGTCAACCATACATTTTAA